CCCCTCCCCGAGGCGGGCGGGGGGACACACGGCCCAGGGCGCCTGGGATCCGCTTCGGGATTTGGCCGGAGGGAAAGGGGGCGCTGCCCCCCTCCAACCCCCCCAGTTTGGGGTGGCCCCGGTGGCACCGAGGGGGTGACACGAGGCCCCCGGGGACGGCGGGAGCGGGCGGGGGGCCGAGCGCCGATCCGCTTGGCCGGCGCCGCTTCCTGCGGCCAGATGGAAACCATCGGCCCGGGGCGGCCCCCCCGCCGCTCCCTCCTCCTCCTCCTCCTCCCCGGCCTTCCTCCTCTATCCTCTCCCTCGCTCATTCCCAGCCCTCCCCCCGCGCCCCGGGCCCGTCGCTTTCGCACCCCCTCCCTGTCCCCCGTCACCCCCCCGGGCAGAACAAAAGCCCAGGGGACAATGAGCGCAGGGACAAGGGGCCTTTGTGCGGCCAGGGGACAATGGCAGCGCTGACACGGCGGGACACGGCGTGGACACAGTCACCCCGCCCCCCCCCCGGCCCCCGCTCTGGGGGGGGGGGAAACTGAGTCACGTCTGCAGCGGGCCCAGGCGTCCGGCCAGCCCGGCCGCCTCATGCACCGAGCGGGTGGGTGCTCAGCCCGCCGGCCGCCGCCGCTGGGCGGGGGTGACAGATGGCCCTGGGCCCGTCACCCCCCCCGATGTTGTCACCCCCCCCGAAAGGCAGCAGCAGAGGCAGACACCCGGGCCCCCCCCCCCAGCTCCAAGGGATCCCGGGAATGGGGTGATGGATCCCGGGGTGGGGGTGGGGGGGCAATTCCTGCTACCCACCCGGCCGTGCCTCAGTTTCCCCTGTGCCGGCAGGACCCGGCTGGAGGCTGTGGGATGGGGGGGAGCGCGGCCCCCCAAGGGACGCACTGAGCTCAACGCTGGCCACGACGTCCCCGTCACCACGGGGGACACAGCCTGGCCCGGGGAGGGGGGGCCCTCGTCCTGCCCCCCTCCCCACCCCGCCACATCTGGGGCACATCTGGTGTGCACACCGTGTGCACAGCGAGGACGGGGGGCGCCATGGGGGGACAGGGATGCGCCGGGGGGGGCCATGAGCCCCCCAACCACCTGCCCCTTCCCCCCGCCCCACACTCCGTGTCCAGTTGGCCACAGCCGGGCCGGAAACGCCGGGTGGGGGGGGGAAATGACTCGTGTCCCCCCCAGCCCTCCCCTTCCTGGGGCCGCGGGGCGGAAGAGGCGGCTCTGGCCCGATGGGCCGCGCGGGCCGGGCCGCCCCGGGCACGTGGCTTCCTCGCGTGTCCCTGTCCCCCGGGGCCTCCTCTTCCTCGCRTCCCCTCCCACAGGCACCGTGGGATGTCGGGACCCCCGGCCCGGGCGCCCTGCTGCTGCCACCGCCCACCCCGGCATCACTGTCCTCATCCCTGCCCGGGAGCGGGGAAACTGAGGCACGGAGCCCGTGTCACTGTCACATGCCTCCCCCCACACCCCGTGTCACCACCCGTCCCCAGGCCCCCTGTTCAGCCCCGGGGGCTGTGGGTGGCACCCAGGGGACCTGGTGCAGATGCGGGGCTGGGCGGCTCCGAGGGGACTGGGCTGAGAAGAGGATCGTGGGGACATCGAGGGGAGAAGGGGACATCGAGGGGAGCGGGTGGCATTCAGGGGACAGAGGGGAGGGGGAGATTGGGCTGCCATCATCCCTGGTGGCATCACGGGGACTTAGGAGGAGACAGGGGACACAGACAGTGCCTGGAGGTACCAGATGGCATCAAGGGGACAGGGCAGCATCAAAGCGACAGTGTGGGGATGGGGGACACTGGCACTGGGTGACATTGAGGATACCGAGGAAGATGGGTGATGCTGTGCCCGCCGCTACTGGGTGGCATCAAGGGGACTGGGTGGGGACAGGGACGAGCCTGGCATCGATGGGATCAGCTGGACATGGGGGACCCATGTCCCCAAGGTACCGGGGGACACCAAGGGGACCAGGAGGGGGAACCCAGTGCCCCCCTGGGTGGCACCAACGGAACTGATGGGGACAGAGGCACCAGATGGCACCAAGGGGACCGAGCGGGCAGCAAGAGGACTGGAAGGGGGGCACCCAGGGGACCC